AACACAATATTTAAATATTCAAAATTTCACATTAAATCACTTGATGACATCATCAAATATTGTGATGCTATTTTGCTTTATGATCTTTGCTGATTGTAACTTTGAGGACAACTGAAGATCACTAAATGAAAAAATGTTGCCTTGAAACCGTGTACAAAGTCAATGGGCTGAAAAACATCATTGAAAAATCGAATAAATCACTTGATGACGTCATGATGACATCATTGTTTTAGGACCATCTATGCGTAAGGGTCCTTCATACATATAGACCTGTGTAAGTTTAATTAAGATTCAAAGTTGCAAGGGGACCCAAGTCGATGGTGGAAGAAATGTGTGCAAAACAAATGGGCTTTGGCACAGCAGAGGAAGAGGAGGAAGGGGAAAAAAACAAACAAAAAGAATGCCTTTTTCGCCAAATTGTGAAAAAGCCAATGAAAGACACCCTTGGTTAACCTTGGATGAAGTTAATAGCTTCAACTGAGAGCAGTGTACAGCACTGTACAGGTACATGTACATAGAGTATCTGAACTCCCTGTTGACAGCTGCATACAATGTACATGTAGTATAGAGTACGTAAGTGAACATGAGTGTATAGCAACAAGAAACAGCACCATTTTACATTGTACATGTATACTACATGTACATGTACATTTTAACACTAATCAGAAATGAGATTAACCAATGATAAAAAATAGCTGAAAACAGGTGAAAAAAGGCATAAAGAAGCTGAACTGTGAAAATCTCCTATACTTTTGTACACAGCCAGTGAGGAAAAAAAGTCGAAATAAAAAAAAAAAATAAATAAAATCAGCTTAAAAGCTGAGAAATCTCAACCCTGACTAATTCAATTCAGTTTTCAGATGCTGGTCGGCCGAAAACCCCCTTTGGGGCCAGGGGAAGGAGGGTGCTTAATCTAACAGCCGCAAGGCTGATTGTAATCATGTCACTGATTAGCCGGAAGGCTGGCTAACAATCAATCAGCTCTCCTGACACGGTCTTAATGTTAATTTAATACCAACCAAGCACATACATGTATACACGTACATGTATATTCCCACTCATACCAGAAAATGCCGTTATATACAATAAATCTCCAAGGATTTTGTTCAAGGCTTTCGTTTTCTCGAACAACCTGTCCATTTTATGATATTTCTTGTGCAAGTACTCCAGAAGAATCTCCATACATTGTTGGTGCACGTGTGGAGAGTTCAACGAGCTACGGTGCACAGATTTGACGAATAGGAATGGATTCAAATGTTTTGTATCCAGGTGCCAGTGCATTTTCACTCAGTGGGCATTATCAAATCACAGTAGGCAGTATCAAATGTTAATACACGGTCATGTTGCACATTGTTGAAGACGGAAACTAAGGTTCCAGTATTCATGAATGTGTTATACATGTACATCGTATGTTTGCATCTGTGTGCTGATTATTACAGACTATTAGCAGCAACTACAGTGTATGTACCGGTAGTTTATGGTTGCAGGCCAGTAAGTAGGTCCAAAATTGCCTGTGCAGACCACATCACAATTTTTAGGTTGTCAGATTCTCTGCTATTAGAGCCTCTCATGGCACGTGGACTGGGTGGTTTGTTAAAAAGGTGGATGAAATGCAGGGGCAGGACTGTCAACTTGTATTTCTGAAAGTATCAGACCAAACGGGGCCCTCCAAATTGCTCTATTTTGCCATGGAGTGTAGGCATCACTTTCCAAAATGGCGATGGGCCTCCTGACTATTTTGAGGGGTGACTTGCTCTGGAGAGGATTATCTTCAAAGGTTGTCAATTAAACCACAGAAAATTGAAAGTAAAATGAAAAATGAGGAAGTGAGCTTTAATTTGATATGTGTCTTGAACACCTGTGAAACTTGTGAGTACTTTTCCTGATTTTTTGAAGTGGGGATACTTATCACTGTTGTCTATGGCAACTGATTTACTGGTCTGGACACTTATGAACACATGTGCTATATATACCGGTGCTTCCCAACAGAGGGCTCACCAGTGTTTGAGTGTAGATGCAGTACGTGTACACGTACATGCATAAGGGTGCAGTCCACTAATTGAAGTGAGAATTTCTGGTCAGCTAATTAGCATTAAAAGTGCCCCCCACGGTGTCTTTTGAAAAAGGAGATTGTTTGAGCCCCAAAATGGTGAGATCTTTGCCAGAATCAATTCCCTGGGTCTTGGAGCTTTCATAAGACATGTACTGTATGAGAGCAGAATGGCTAAAAATATGTTTGAAAAATGGTCCTTAGTGCTCGAGAAAGTTGAGGGTGCCAATTGAAAACGGCTGCAATCAGTCTTCAGAAAAATCAGGGGGTGATTTTGTTTTGTGGGAATGATTAAAGATGTAATTGGTTAACCCACAGAAAATTGAAAAGAAATTGGTAGATTAGGGATTGGCCAATAATTTAATTTGTGTTTCAGAATCCTCAGGGATGTTGGCGTGCATGTTATTGGGCCCTGAACAATGCTGATTTAACAGTTCTCAATGGGGCTTGAATCAGTGGACTGTACCCATCAATGCATAGGAAAATAATAGAGGGCAGCAAACATGAGGCTCAGGTGTAGCTAAGAGACACTGAGCACTTTTGGTAGTGCATTAATTCTGAGATGCACTGGCTATTCATTTTCTCAAGGTGAAGCTAAGGAAAATGGAATGTTCTACTGCTCACTGAGGAGGCTGATTATTAGGGTACAATTTAAAAGCACTCAGTTGTTTTACAACATCTCATTAATGCATACAATTTGTCATGTACATTTACTGGTAACTGAACACGTATTGCAGTGGAACGCCGCTATAACAAACACGACGGGGTCCACACTAAATGTTCGGTACAGCGGTTGTTCGGTATAGCGAATTGACTGCCAAACGTTTCATTGTAATGTTGAATAGCTCCCTCTCTTGTCTAACTGAAGTGCACCCTCTTGTGATGCTATAGTTTGCTGTTTTTTTATGTTCTGCCATTACATTCAAGTTTAAGGTTTCTAGAAATGAATCTGTTAATTATTTTTGTTTATTTGATTTTGAGTCACAAAATTGATATCAAGTTTATCCTAAAAGTCATGAAGCTACAGTACTGCTCAGGATCGATCTCTGATGTATGTATGCTGTGGTGAATCTCAGTTGGTTTGTGTATCAGCAGCGCCCTCTTTAGACTACTGTTAGTGCAATGCCACCCTGTGCATACGTGTGGTTTTGCATCCGATCATGTGGAGTCACAAAACCAATATCTATTCAATACTGTTGACAACTAGTGGCTTTCCCTTCTAATTCATGGGGAAATAATGGCCACTTGTCACTTTCCAACATAAAAACACCAACTGTTTTATCATGTTGATGTTCGGGAATTACAAACGGCAACTGAGTGTTTGGTAGGTTCTGTGCACAAATTATTGGGAGCCAAGGATGATGTTAAGTACAGCTGAATGTTTGGTATAGCGGTGTTTGGTATAGCGGTGTTCGGTATAGCGGTGTTCGGTACAGCGGTGTTCGGTATAGCGGTGTTCGGTATAGCGGTGTTCGGTATAACGGTGTTCGGTATAGCGGTGTTCGGTATAGCGGTGTTCGGTATAGCG